TAGATCCACCCATTTACTTGTGAATTTTATGATTTCATTTTTCTTATCAGCTGAATAGTATGCAATTGTGTAAATATATCACATTTTCTTTATCCATCCATAAGTTGATGGCCATCTAGATTATTTACAATTTCTGTCTATTATGAATAGAACAGCAATGAACAGGGATGAGCAAGTATCTCTGCAGTAAGATATAGTCTTGTGGGTATATGTCCAAGAATGAGCTAGCTGGGTGTTAGGGCAGATTGATTCTCAGCTTCCTGAAGAAACTCCATGCTAATTTCCCTGGTGGCTGTACCAGTTTGCACTCCCATCAGCAATGAATAAGTTGTTCTCATTTCCCCACATCCTCACCAGCATGTGCTGTCATTTGTTTTATTGACCCTGGCCATTCTACCTGGGGTAAGATGAAATTCCAAAGTAGTTTTAATTTACATTTCTCTGATGATTAAGGATCACTTCATAAATGTTTTTCTTTAAGTGTTTTTCAGCCACTTGTGTTTCATGTTATGAGACCTCTCTGCTTAGTTCTGTGTCCCATTTTTTTAATTGTATTGTTTTCTTGATGTTCAGGTTGGTTTCTTTTCTTTATATATTCTATTCTGTATACCTACCCTCTGTCAGACTTATAATTGGTAACTATCTTTTCCCATTTTGTAGGCTGCTGCAATTTAAACAGACCTGTAACCTATAGTGAAATAGAAGCAGTGATTAGAAATCTCCCAACCAAGAAAGGCTCAGGGCCAGATGAATTCACTGCAGAATTTTACTAGACTTTCAAAAGAAAACTAACAGTACTATTCCCCAAATTATTCTACAAAATAGAAACTGAAGCCATTATCACCCTGATATCAAAACCACACAAAGACCCAATTAAAAATTACAGAACATTATCCCTTATGAACACAAATGAACATTTTTTTCAATAAGGCTTTGCAAGCCAAATTCAAGTACACATCAAACACCATGATTGAGTTGGCTTCATTTCAGAGATGGTTAACATATGTAAACCAACAAACAAAATCCACCACATAAACAGACTGAAAGACAAAAACCACATAATTATCTTATTAGATGCAGAAAAGTACTTTGATAGAATCCAACAATCTTTTTTTTTTTTTTTTTTTTTTTTTTAAGATTTATTTATTTATTATGTATACAGTGTTCTGTCTGCACATATCCCTGCAGGCCAGAAGAGGGCACCAGATCTTATTACAGATGGTTGTGAGCCACCATGTGGTTGCTGGGAATTGAACTCAGGACCTTTGGAAGAGCAGCCAGTGCTCTTAACCTCTGAGCCATCTCTCCAGCCCCCCAATCTTTTTTTTTAAGATTTATTTGTGTATTATGTATACAATGTTCTGTCTGCATGTATCCCTGCCCAGTAGAAGAGGGCCTCAGATCCCGTTATAGATGGTTTTGAGCCACCATGTGGTTGCTGGGAATTGAACTCAGGACCTCCGGAAGAACAGTCAGTGCTCTTAACCTCTGAGCTATCTCTCCAGCCTGAATCCAACAATCTTTAATGATAAAAATCTTGTATAGACTAGGGGTAAAAGGGACATACTACAACATAATAAAAAGCAATTTACAGCAAGCCCACAGCCAACATCATCCTAAACATTTCCACTAAAATCAGGAATAAGACATGTTCATTCTTCATATTTATTCAAAAACAGTACTTGAAGTTTTATCTAGAACAGTGTATCTCAACCTGTAGGACATAACCCCTTTGGGGATCGAATGACCCTTTCATATAAGATATCCTGCATGTCAGATATTTACATTACAATTCCTAACAGTAGCAAAATTACAGTTATGAAGTAGCAACGGAAATAACTTTATGGTTGGGGTTACCACAGCATGAGGAGCTGTGTAAAGGGTCACAGCATTAGGAGGGTTGAGAACCACTGATCTAGAGCAATGAAACAACTGAAGGAGATCAAGAGAACACAACTAGGAAAGGGAGAAGTCAAAGTGTCGTTATTTGTACATGGCAGGATTTTATATTTTGTTTTGTTTTGTGTTTTTTGAGACAGGGTTTCTCTGTGCAGCTTAGCTGTCCTGGAACACACTCTGTAGACCATACTGGTCTTGAACTCTTAGAGATCCACCTGCCTCTGCCTCCTGAGTGCTGGGATTAAAGGTGTGAACCACTACTGTCCAGCTAAACGTGATTTTATATTAAAAATACAACCCCATTGATTATATCAGGAAACTTCTACAGCTGATAAGTACTTTCAGCAACGTAGCGGAATACCAAATTAAACACAAAACTCAGTAGCCTTCTTATATACAAATTACAGAGATGCTGAGAAAGAAATCAGAGAAACAGTAGCTTCCACAATAGCTTCAAAAAATATTGAGATTACTATAACCAAGCAAGTGAAATATTTCTATAATAAAAAGCTTATGACTTTGAAGAAAGAAATTATACAGAAGACAAGAAGAAAAGATCTCCCATGCTCATGGATCAGTAGGATTAATATTGTGAAAATGGTTATCCTACCAAAATCAACATACAGATTCAGTGTGATCCTCATCAAAATTCTAACATAATTTCTTACAGAAATGAAAAAAAACAACGCTTAACTTTATATGAAAACAGAAAAAACTCAGGACAGATAAAACAATGCTGCATAGTAAAGAACTGTTGAAGGTATCACCATACCAGATTTCAAGTTGTACTACAGAGGTAGAGTAATAAAAACAGCATGGTATTGGCATAAATATAGGCACGTTGATCAATGGAATAGAACTGAAGACCGAGATACAAATTTCACATGCTATAGACACCTATTTTTGACAAAGAAGCCGGCTATACTTTTACACACTTACAGACACCTAATTTTTGACCAAGAAGCTTGAGAAAAAGAACAGCATCTTCAACAAATGGTGCAGTCAAACTGGGTCTTCATTTTCTATTCCTCCTGCCCAGCCTGTATCATACTGTATTTCATGGTCATTAAATACAAATTTACGTGAGATGGCCCAGCTAAATTGGTAATCCAATTGGAGGGACAGAGGTTACTACTAAAGGTATTATTTGCAAAATGTACATGTATTTGTCAAATATTATGGTATTAAGACGGAGTCTTAACATGGTGTTCAGATTGATTTTGAACTCATCAAATGTCATAACAGCCTCTAAAGTTAGTGAGAGCACAAGTCCATGGAACCATACCACAGCTCCAAATGTACTCTTTAGTGAATACTTTCAAGCAGACCTCAAGGTATTATCCTCTGTACAAGGAAGCATAAAACCACCAGAATTCAAGGAGCCTATCACCCCCTTTTTATCCAAAGTTCTCCCTCCATATAGGGTATTCCTTGTGATGACATTTGACACAATAATGCCCTTATATTGCTTTAGATCTTTATATGTATATAAAGTATGCACGTGTGTCAAACAATATAGTTAATTGTGTGTGTGAGTAATATGTGAATTTATCTCATCTGAGGCCAATATTAAGAGTCAATATAACACTACACCATGGTGTGTGCATCTGGAGGTCATGTAGTGGCCATGAACTACACAACTGTGGTCTACCTCAAGCATAACAACTGCCACTATCTAGCAGGAAATACTTGAAGATGCTGCGCATGTTCCCAACCCTATTATGTATGTTCTAACTCAGGATGAAGAAGCTGAAAATACCATGAGGAACATCTTCCACCTCAAACGTTGAACCAAAGTTCCTGCTGTACCTGGTCTTGTCACAGCAGATACAGTGGATGTGCACATCACCTTGGTATCCATGTTTCTCATCATCTGTTCACTTCTGTGCTTTTTTCTTTCCCCAGTCAACTCCTTATTGCCTCCTGTGTTTCCATTCTGTTTCCTTTCCTTCTCTCTGTCTCCTTCCTATATAAAGGACCCCAGTGGAGATCAGATTTAAAGACACTTTTAGTAGAGCCCTAGAAAAAGGTTTTGTGAATTTGATAGTTTATTTTGGTTAAAGCCACAATTTGAGTGTGGAATATTCCTTCTGAATATTAAGGTATTGAAAGATCAATTTCATGGCATAGGAAGTAATGGAAGACATGGGTTAGCTCCCAGAGTTCAATTGTTCAGTGTCTCTGACTCACTAGAGAATAACCCACTGTGGGGCTTCTGGTCAGAAATCAGTGTGATCTAGAAGCTAGGGAATAAATATGTTACACTTCTGAATGTAGAATTTGCTTGTGACCTTGGACCAAGAAACCTTTCTGTTTGAAGTTCAAAGGTTGCTTTTCCTGTTGAATCCCTTGTAGAATACTTCTGCATATAATTCTATTTTCTCCAGATATTGTATAATTGCATTCCTTGGCGATATGTTTTAATTTTCTTGGCAGAAAATGGGTACATTGAAACACAAGGTGTGAGAATGCCTTATCTTTACCTCGATCCGCCCCTCCCCGCCCCCCACCACACCCCCACCACACCCAACCCCCCCCCCCCCCCCCCCCCCGCAAGGTTACGTCTTGCGTTTTCTCCTTGGGCATTGCAAAGCTGTCACTATTTCTTTGGTACTTGAAGGGCGGAGTAGGAAGGGCCCATTGAATACACAAGGCAGCGAGCGCATGTAGTAAAAAGCCTCCAGAATGTTTCCTTAAATGCCATGAAACTTCAGGTTGTGCCCGGTTTGTACCAGCGAAGAGCAGGCTAAAGGAGTCAGGAGTGACAGCTGTCTCTTTAGCTGCACTGGCAAGCAGAAAAACTGTTTTCTCTATAGTTCGCTTCATAGGAGGCGGGGAGAATTTTATTCACCAATGAACGACGCTGTTATTCCCCTGCATGAACTGTCCAGTAAGATGCGCAGATAATCGAAGGGTTCCGCCCTTGCTGCCATTTTGGAGCCTGTGTAACTGCGGGGGAGGGTCGTGGCGCGACCGTCACTTCTGCCCATAGCTCCTTGGAGAGGATACTAGGATGCGCCACAAGCAGAGAATGGTGAGTGTTTCCTGCGCGCCTGGATTCGAGGGTGGCGGGTTTGTGACACTGTAGCGGCTTTGACCAGCCTCCAGTCCTGTCCCTCCCCTGTGAAGCGGCTTCATCCCAGTCCTCTCAGCGTGAGTCCGAGCCTCGAACTTGAGCCTCTGCAAAAATTGCAGCGTTGGCGGGTTAGTGATGCTGAATCCAAACTGCTGTGAGCGGTCGTGGATGGTGAGCGCTGCTGTGTGCCCCTGCACTTCCGTTTACCCTGATTTAGTTTTCCTCCCTGATCATCGTGTAATTTTCTTTTCTTTCTTTCTTTTCTTTTTTTTTGTTTTTGGACTGCCAAGTGAACCCTAGGCTTTATGCGTGTTAGGCAAAGATTGCTCGCTGTGTGGAGGGCATTTTTTCTCCTCTGCATCTCCTCTATCTCTCTTTTGATCGCTCCCTCTCTTTTTAATAATAATGCAGGTCAAAATTGTTTTTCTTGATTATAAGGCAAAAAGCGGGGTTTTGAAAAGCTTTTCTAGCCTTGTTGATTGTGGGGGGAAAATGCCTGGGGGAAGGGGAGTTTATGTAATCATAATTTTGTTTTGCTCTGGTGAGTTTCTCCGAACAGAAAGAGTTTGGAGTGAGAGTTCGTCGGTCAGAACTTAACTGGAACACAGTTCTTGGGAGAAAATTAATCTTCAACTCTTTCCTTTCGCCTTCAACTATTTGTTCTCTGTAGACAGTAATTTCTGACCATTGGGAAAGTCTGGGATGGTCAGCCCGAGACAAAGACGTTTGAGCTTGAGTGTGCAATATGTTGAAAAAATACGTTATTACTATTAAGTGTGTGTGATACTTCTTGTTGCCACCTGGGCCATGGCGTGCTTGCAGAGGTCGGAGGTCAATCCTGTGTTGTTTTTCTCCTTTTCACTTTTATGTGACTTCTGGAGATAAAACTCAAGTCATTAGGCTTATTTTGCATTTTTTTCTTTTAAATCAGTTGAGGCATTTGAGACCTGTTCCTTCCACTCTTTTCCTCTCCTCCCCTCCCCTCCCCTCCCCTCTCCTCCCCTCCCCTCCCCTCCCCTCCCCTCCCCTCCCCTCCCCTCCCCTCCCCTCCCCTCCTCTCTCGCTGTCTCTGTCTCTGTCTCTCTCTCTCAAAAGAGAGGCAAGATATCATGCATCTAGTTTGTCTTAAAACAAAGTATATAGCTGAAGGTGACCTTGAACTTAGGATATTCCTGCCTCTCCCTCTGAAGTATGATTACAGGCTTGAGCCACAAAGCTCAGTTTTATGACTCAGTTTTTAGTGCTGGGAATGAAATTCAGGTTTTCAGCAGTGGTTGTCAAGCACATAACAACTGAGCCGCCTCCTCAGCCCTAGTGCATTGCTTTTAAACATTTGCAGCAGGAAAGCGGATATACCTAATGACACAATTGTAAATACACATGTGGAGTGTACATATGTATGCATATATGCCAACTAAAAAGCAGTGACAGAGTATTAACATACAATACCCATTTCTTCTACAGGAGAAAGGAATAGATATATGTAAATATATGAAAAAAAGGAATGGATGGATGGATAGGTAGATAGATAGATGGAGGGAAGGAGGGAGGGATAGGGATAATTGTAAGATTTTTCCAGAAGGGAAGAATTGAAATATACCAAAGACTGATTTACAAAAGCAAAAACAAAATCATTGGGCAAACTCACTAAATACTGAAGTTCCGTAACTAGCACCTAGATGCCTCTAATGGAATCATCTCAATTAAAGGGTTCAGATAGCCCTTCTCTTCAGATTGTGTTGCCCGCAGCACACAAAAACCTCTTTCCTGGACTGGCTGACTCTACTCCGCATATGCAGCTTTCTTCAGTGGGCATCTCATGGCTGTAGCCCCTCTCTCCATCACCCTGAGATCTCTGTTGCCACTTGGGCTCCATCTTTACTGTGTCACGTTTGTCCGTGGTGGCTCTCTGGATCCACGGTGCAAGGTTCCTCAGTTTTGCATCTTTCATGCCCCCCAAAACTAGTACCACCTGAATGACACTTTCAGTTTCAATTTCTTCTTCCATCCCAGGCTGGTACCTGGCCCGCCTGGACCACAATAGTATCAGCTTCGATGTGGTGGCTCTATGGAAACAGCCTCTTCAGCAGTGACCCCCCTGGCTGCATTCTCAGTTCAGGGGTTTTCTTTCACATGAATTTGCATCTTTACACTTTGGAACCTTTCATGGGTAGGCTCTTGTCTTCATGTAACTGTTCCTATTGTTGATCTAGTAGTTGTGATCTTGCCTGCAGTGTGCCCTTCCTAATGTTTGTCATGTCTGAGGACAGGTGTTTGCAGGTTCCTGGCCTCTTATTTAAATTATTGAAAAGAAAAATGCTTCCATAGATTGGCAAAAGTAGTCAAGTAACTTTATTCAAAGCAAGTCCACATGCCATATAGTTCACAAACACACAGTGAAGAGTGATAGTGAATTGCATGAATGAGATGCATGGGTGGTTCTCGGTTTTGATGATAGACTTGCATTGGATAAGCTCAATGTGCATGTCCTCTCTTAAAATATATCTTCTTCTAATTGTATATATGTCCATTTATCCATAGGCATAAATGGTAAATAGGTGATTCTCCTAAAAGTTCACTTGGAAGATATGGTTTGCTTTATTGCACATGTACTGAAAACTAGCTCAGGCTGCATCAGTCCATAGGTCCTGGATGTGTTCTAAGATATATTTAAATAGAAACAGGGCTTTGCTAAGGGGTTCCTGAGAGAAGTAACTAATTCCCTTTGTTCTAAGCATGTATATATGCAGCTTAATGTGTTCTTAGGTTGCAAATAGGTTGCTAGCTGCATTATGTAGCTCTGGCTGTTCTGGATCTCACTATGTAGACCAGGCTGGCCTCAAACTCACAGAGATCCACTTGCCTCTGCCTCCTGAGTGCTGGGATTAAAGGCATGTGCCACCACACCAGGCTCCTCAGTACTTCTTTTCTGAGGAGATCATGGATGTTTTCTAAAAGATATATATCTTAGATTCTGGAGAACTAGTGAGAGTATCTGGCTAAGGAAACAAGAGCTTTCCTCAGTTTTTATAATTAGTGCCACTCGTCTATTTAATCATCAGTCTAAATGACTGAAGGTCATAGACACAAAGCATTGTGTAATTGGCCACATTTTATAAATAGATTCAAATATTTGTGATACAGCAGAAATATAGGAACGTTTCTTTCTAACAAAATTCTTCCTATTGTTCTGGCAGTGGTTAACCAGCAAGTGAGACTTTATCTGAGTGGAAAAGCATAAATCATATAAACTGAGCATTTGGGTAAAATTCGATCATGAAGTCTTGGCTCATTCAGTAAAAGGAGAAAACATAAAATCCTTGTTCTTTGAGCCTATTTTTGGGAAATTGTTACTAAGTACAGACAAGTATTTAAGAAAACCTTATTGTTGTAAACTGAATCAAGTATCAGTTTTTACCTAGAAATACTCATCAGGTGGGAAGGGGGCAGCAAAGTATTGTTGTAGGTCTCGGTCTGATGACATTTGTAGCTTTTGGGTTGATGAACCATAAGGGCAGGATGGTAAGGGATTCTCCTTGGAGACATGGACCACTCAGGAATGTGTCATTTACAGTACCAAGTACAAGTTTGGGGTTCCCTTCTTTTTGGGCTTCCCCTGATTCCTTGGTAAATGGAGAAGTCTTGGTAGTGGACCATGATGGCCTGAACATAGGGAATCTCACACCATTTTCCTTGTCTTCTACAGAAAAGATCTAGGTGAAAAATAGTATTGTAGTTGAGGTTGCCATTTTGGGATCATATCTGTGGGCCTCAGGGTGTCCTGGGTCTAGGTAGTATTACGATGATATATGACACCTTTTGTCTGGGACAAAATTTTGCCAGTGATTACTGATATACCTGAGGCTTTGGGCAGGTAGAGCAGATTTGGCACTACAGACAAGTAGTTTCCCATGGCAACTTTTAACAGGAAGGAGGAAATGGAGACTCCTCTACAGTGTCCTCTGAAATGGGTGAATTCCCCTCAAAGAGGGAACATCAGAATGTAGATTCTGGGACCTCCCATTGTAGAATCTCTGCTTTGGATGCTGAGCATCTTTAGGTGTTGTGCCTGTAATAGATGCTGTATCTCTTTTGTATTATTTACATATCTCTTTGTGAGTTCCTCCATAATCTGTCCTTTTGTGACTGTAGTGCTACTTATGTAGACAGTGGCTTTTGGCTAAGGTCCTGTTGGAGCACATAACCCTACAACAGACATTTTGAGAAAGGCACTGTTTCGTGTGTTGAGTTACTGCCTGATTGAGAGTTGGTGGAAAGGTTGTAGCTGTGGTTAGGCATGTAGGCTTTTAATCATTATAAGCATAGGATTGGTGCTAGGGAGAGATGACTCATTGGTTAACATGGCTCAGTGGTTAAGAGGTTGTCTTGGAGAGGACCCAAGTTCTATTCTTAGCACCTACAATTGTCTGTAACTCCAGCTCCAGGGGATCAGATGACTCCCTGGTTTCAGGACACTGCGTTCATGTGCACATATTCACACACAGACACAGACATGCATAAACATACAATTAAAAGTAAAGTAAAACCTTAAAAAATAGGGTCTTGGCAGGCCATCTACTTACCTAGTAAGTCAGTGAAATGCTATCCTCCAAGAATACTTGTTTCCTCAGGGTTTCAATAGGAAATTAGAGTGAAAATCCATAAGATGTTTATTTTTTTCACTAATTGAGTGGTAGAGTTAGGTTGTCTTACTATACAGAAAAGACAGAATATCTGAACCTCTGACTAGTGGCAGATGTCCTAATGGCTCTTGATTCTTAGACCCTGCACACTGAGAAAGACAACAGACCTTTAAAGGTAGAAGGAGCAGCTAAGGGAAGGTAGAATATCAAAGAATCCCCACTCAGGGGCTTGCTTCCTGGAGGTTGGGGCTTAGGAGAGCAGTCTTGCCTTGTGTCTTAGGGTTTCTATTCCTGTGATGAAATGCCATGGCTAAAAGCAACTTGGGGAGGAAAGGGTAAATTTGGCTTACATATTTTGAATCACAGTCCAATGAAGGCCAAGGTAGGAATTCAAACTAAGTGAGAACTTGGAGGCAGGAGCTGATGCCCAGGCTATGGAGGGGTGCTGCTTACTGGCTTGCTCTCATGGTTTGCTCAACTTGTTTCCTTATAGCATACAGGACCACCAGCCCAGGGATAGCACCCCCCCATCTTATGGAGACAGTTTCTCAATTGAGGTTCCCTCTTCTCAGACGACTCCAGCTTATGTCAAGTTGACATAAAACTAGCTAGCATACCTTGGGCATGGTGGCCTGCTTTCTTTTGATCTCAGGGCCATTTTTCCTCTTCATCTCTCCAAAACTTGATTTGGTCAGCTCTAGAATCCTTTGTAATTGTCACAGGTAATCTGTCCATAAAGATTTTTGGGGAGTGTGTGTGTGTGTGTGTGTGTGTGTGTGTGTGTGTGTGTGAGAGAGAGAGAGAGAGAGAGAGAGAGAGAGAGAGAGAGAGAGAGAGAGAGAGACCCCTGATTGTCTCCAACTTGAGCATCAGAACTATTCAAGCTGTGGCATGTCAGACACATGTGAAAATAGAAAAAGAGAAAATGAAAAAAATGGAGGAAAAACTATTAAATTAAAAGTAGCAGCAGAATTTGGCTTTAGTCCAGAGAGTAGAAACACTATTAGGAGGCAGGAGAATTTATCTTGTTCTAAGGTTTCTTGATCAAGTCATTGAATTCATTTGGCTTGTTCTGAGTCTCGTCCAGTCCTTGGATAAGGAGGCAGCTGCCGATCCCCCTTCCTCCTTGTTTGATGTCCTTTCATTTCCTCTCAGGCATTTTCTTTGCCTCTGTGAGACCACAGCACAAGAGTATGAATGTTCTCACTGTCTGTGTGTCAGGAATAGATACTTTATAATCTAGAGCGATGTGAAAAAACAATTCGAGAAAGAGGATTTTATTTTTTTTGAGACAGTGTCTCCCTATGTAGCTTTGGCTGTCCTGGAACTCACCATGCACTATGTCGACCAGGCTGGCCTCCACCTCACAGAAATTGCCTGCCTTTGACTCCCCAGTGCTGGAACTAAAACCCTGTGCCACCACCCCTGGCCTGAGAAAAACTCTTAAAATTCAGTCTGTTCTAGGAATAGGTCAGCTCCAAAGAGCAGAAAATAATTTCAGAGAATCTAGAGGACCCATGTTTTAATTTTGGGAAAGCAAAATGTAGCAGAATCACTTCAAATGAACAAATACACAATCAAAGGAAACAATAGAAAGAAGAGAGAGAGAAAAAAAAAAAAGGCCATTTTCTATTAATTCCAAGTGACTGTGGACTTAGGTACTGCAGATCTGCAGAGCAGAAACTATCCTAAGGAGAAGAGCGGGAATGTTTGGTTTTTTATGTTTGGACAGAGAAAGCTGTTGCTCTCCTTCCTCCCTCTTTCTGTCTTTTCTGTGCCGGGTGAAGCAACTGGCAGAGAACGTCTGTCCTCAGCCACTCAGTTCTTTAGGACAGGGAGGCCTCAGCTTGGTGACTTTGTCTTTTTTGTTATGAGTTTAAGTCTTTGATGGTTGATTGACCTCTTCAGCCCTTCAAGACCCTTTTTGACCAAATTGATTACATTGATTCGTCATTGTAGCCATAGATAACAGTATGGAAAAATTGTTAGAAAGTAGTGAGAGTAAGTTTTAGTAGTAAGAGAGGAGGATTTTGTTTTCTTTCTCTGTCGGATTTGCCAAATATGTTACTGGAAGATGGAGGTCTGAACATAGTGTTCCCAAGTTCTATTTTTTTTTTTAGTTTATGTGTCTACCAGCCTGTGTATGTGTACTAAATCCATGAAGAAGCCAGCAGAGGTCAGAAGAGCGTATTGGAATCCCCTGGAAACAGAGTTATAGGTGTTTGTGAACTGCCATGTGGATGCTGAGAATTGAACCTGGATCACTGGAAGAACAGACAGTACCCTTAACTGCTGAACCATGTCTCCAATCCCCATTTCTAGTTCTTTGCCTGTGTTTAAACCAGTAGTTCTCACCTTTCCTAATGCTTTGACTCTTCAATACATTTTCTCATGTTGTGGTGAACCCCAACCATAGCATTTTTTCGTTGCTACTTCATGACTGTAATTTTGCTAGTTATGAATTATAATGTAAATATCTGTGTTTTCCAATGGTTTTAGGTGACCCCTGTGAAAGGGTTGCTTGAGCCCAAAGGGGTCGTGACCTACAGGTTGAGATCCACTGGTTTAAACTATTGAAATAATGATCCTCATAGATTTGTAAAAATAGCCAGGTCTAGTAAAGCAATAGTACAGATCAGAAATGAACTCTGAGGAATGTTAGGTCACATGACTGGGGATACTCAAGGGCCCAAATTATTGTTTGATGTCTCCTTTTAGTATGTGGTTGAATAGAAGTTAAATTGCTAAGGTGTGTATCATGTGCGGATGGTTGTTTCTGATAGGCGTCTATTTTGTAAGCTTTTGCTCACTGCAATTGTTCCTTCCTCTAATGTACTTAATTTTAATCCTATGCTAGCCCAATTTTGATAAGCATAAAATAATATATAGAGAAGTATCTCTAGAGATTCATTTTGAGACATAATATGCCTTTTTGTGCATGCACCCAAAATTAGTTCAGGGCAGATCAGTCCATTGCCCATAGGTTTCTAAAGCAGTGCACAATCTATTTGAATAGAAACATAGTAATAAAGGGAGTGTTTTAATTGTATAAAGCAGGTATTCGTGTATCCTCCTGGTGAATGTAGTTTCTAGGTGCATCCTCTTGATAGGTGCATCATTCGCCAAGGGGTGTTTGCATAGCCCACGTCAGTGGCGTCCCCTTTTGCTAATACAGTCACTGCTAATAGCGTGCCTCACTATTGTCCCACTGCTCAGTGCTGATCTCTTTAATAGTCGTGGCTGCTTTGTCATCTGTACTCTCCTTGTCCAAATTTTTAAGCTTGTTTACACTTTTTTTTTCTGTATCAAATTATTTCATTTTTTTTAAATTCAACTTCTTTCAGGTCATCAGGCTCTGGGCAGAATGAAGCCAAATTTGGGGTAAAACACAAATAGCCTCTATCATTGTTTCTCTTTGAAACCTCATGAAGCAGGCCTTGACAGTCCCCATTTCTTTTAGCATTCTCATGTTTCAAGCTTCTGTCAAAATGGCCAGTTCATCTCTGCTTTCAGCGTACTTACACGTGTTCCCAACATCTTTCATGACTCTAGATCCTGTCAAGTTGGCAGTTAATTTTTGACTGTCTTTCATGTGATTTATTTCAGGAGTCAGTGACCTTTGATGATGTGGCTGTGAACTTCACCCTAGGAGAGTGGGCTTTATTGGATTCTAGTCAAAAGAAGCTCTACAGAGATGTGATGACAGAAACCTTTATGAACCTGATCTCCATAGGTAAAAAATATACTATGATTTCTTCACTTATTCAATTAGAGAACAGCTGTTTCTTGCTCATCTGTCCGGATACATGAATTGAAATATTGGAAGGGAGCTTCATGGTAAATGTAGCATTCCTCGTCATTGCACAATAACATTGTAGAATTGAGTAAGTTTTTGTATGATATTGAATTAAGTCAGAATGATTTCTTTGGGTTTGCTTTTTAGGTAAAACAAAGGAAAAAGAAAATATTGAAGACAACTACCAAAATCTCGGGAAAAATGTGAGGTAATACACACTCCAAGAGAGAGGAATTTGTTATCAAATATTTGCCAGTGATAGGAAATCTGAGAAACAAGCAAATGATCCAGTACATCTTGGTGCAATTGATTTAATCTCAAATTTTCTCTACAAGTGCATTGACTTGGAACATTCTGAATTAGAGGATGCCAACTCTGTAGTGTATGAATATTGCCAAAATATGCAACATTAACCTATGTAAGACTTGTTTTCGTGTTTCGTTGTCCCCAAATTGTCCTTCATACCGAAAATTATTTAGTGTATTTTATCAAGTTACCTTTCAGCTTTGGTTATAAGGTATGTGAAGTAAAATGAGTTTTAGATTTAGATTTAAACCTATCATCAATAAATCACATAAAGAATGTTTAGCTATTTCAAAACCCATAATGTTTGATGCACACCATTTTTTCATTGAAAATATTCAACTTTGTTAACTGGTACACACAGTATTTATGAAATGCCTAAAAGCAGGAGTATTTAAGAGCTTTATATGTTTGTGCTATCTTCAGGACCTTGGCCGAATGTTCAGTCCATTTATAATTACAAATTCTTATGGAAGCAAAATGAGCAGTGTCAATCTCCTTCTCCAGGCTCTTTGTGTATGGCCCAGATGGACTTAACACTTGCTGTCTTCCTTCTGCAGTCTCCAGAATACTATAATAACAGTGGTACAACATCTAGCCTCCAGCACCTCTCTTGGTGAGTTGTAAGTGTAGTTATGCTTTTCTCATCTTTTACAGAACTCAGGTGGTTGAGAGAAACTGTGACTATGGAGATGGTGGTCAGTGTGGAGAAACCCAGCACCAGATTCCAGAGCATATTGTTCAAAGAGACATGCTTCCTGAAGTAACAATATATAAAAATGGTGTGCTTGCAAGAGACATCATTGTTCATTCATCCTCACATGTACACCCCAGCTATGAAATTACAGAGAAACCCTATGGGTCTCAGGAACAAGTGGAGAAAACTTTTACACATGAGAAATGTTGGAAAGATTTGACTTATTCTGAGTCCTTTCAGGCAAATCAAAGTCTTCCTAGAGAGACAGCCTATCAAAATAAGCAATCTAATGAAGTCTGTAGGAGTCTCAATTCTGATCAGTGTTGTGAGAGAATTCACACTGGAGATAAACTCCATGAATGGAAGCAAGTTGAGAAAGCCTTCTGGAGGTACAGTTATGGTCAAATATATGAAAAAATCACCATTGGAGAGAAACCGTTTATGTGTCAACAGTATGACAAAGCCTTGGTTAATTCCAGTCAGCTTATTAAACATGAAATAATTCACCCTGAAGAGAAGTGTTATACATGTAAGCAGTGTGGGAAAGCATTCAGATATTCCTCATCCCTCCAGAACCATGAAAGAATTCATAGCGGGGAGAGGCCGTATGTATGTAAGCAATGTGGAAAAGCCTTCATTCGTTCCTATGACCTTCTCATCCATGAAAGAATTCACAGTGGAGAAAAACCTTATACTTGTGAGCATTGTGGAAAATCTTTCACTCATTATAGTGGCTGGTACAGTCATGAAAGGATTCACACTAGAGAGAAACCTTATGTTTGCACACAGTGTGGGAAAGCGTTTTCATGTTCTACATCATTTCGGAGGCATGAAAGAATTCACACTGGCGAGAAACCATATATATGTAAGCATTGTGGAAAAGCCTTTACCCATTCAAGTGCTCGTTACATTCATGAGAGAATTCACACCGGAGAGAAACCCTATGTTTGCAAGCACTGTGGAAAAGCATTTCTTCGTGCTAGTCATCTTAACAACCATGAAAGAATTCACACTGGGGAGAAACCCTATGTTTGTAAGCATTGTGGGAAAGCCTTCATCCAACGTGATGCTTGTTATAATCATGAAAGAATTCACACTGGAGAGAAACCATATGTATGTAAGGAATGTGGTAAAGCATTTAGGATTTCCACATCCCTTCGTGACCATGAAAGAATTCATACTGGAGAAAAACCTTATGTCTGTAATTATTGTGGGAAAGCATTTAGGGTTTCCACATGCCTTCACAAACATGAAAGAGCTCACGTGGAAAAGAAACCCAGTGGATAGGACTTAAAACCATATACATCATGTGGAATTGTCTTTGGTCAACTTGCTGTTATTGTGGGGTATGAAAAAAAATGGTGTGGAGGGCCAGTGAGATGGCTCAGGGGTAAAAGCACTTGCCACTAAGCTTGATAAACTGAGTTGGGTTCTCAGAACCCATGTGAAGAGAGAGAACTGAGTCCTCAAAGTTTTCCTCTGACTTGCACATATGTGCCATCATTTGCATACACAATCTCCCACACATGTATCAATAAAGGGGATATTTTAAAATACCTTTTTTTTTAAGACAGGATTTCTCTCTGTAGCCCTGGCTATCCTGTAACTTGCTGTATAGACCAGGCTGGCCTCAGACTTGGAGATCCACCTGCCTCTTCCTCCTGAGTACTGGAATTAAAGGTATGCACCACCACAGCCTAGCTTTAAAATACATTTTCACGATTTTTTAAAATTTTTAATTATGTGTAGGTGTGTGGGTATGTGCATGTGAGGGTTAGTGTGTACAGAGGCCAGAGGTGTCAGATTCCCTTGGAGCTGGAGTGACAGGTGGTTGTGAGTGACTACCTGGTGTGAGTGCTGGAAATCCCATAAGTATAATATTTTTATAAAAGTCTGGAAAAAGCTGGAATAGGAGGCCTGACAACGTGTAAATTCAGACATGTCCAAAATGTGACATTGGATGAAAACCATTTCTGTCAAATGTGCTAAGGCACATTTTTTTTATACTATGTTTTACATAGATTACAATTTATGAAGATTACATTTTTGTAGGTGTATGTACTTGCGTGTACACATGCTAGAGTGCACATGTGGAAGTGGACAGCTTTCAGGAGTCTCTTCTGCTGTTCCCACTATGTAGGTCCTAAGAAGGAACTCAGGTCGTCTGAGTTCAAAACAAGTACCTTAACCTGTGAACAGTCTTGCTGGCCCTGGTGCATGTCTTTTACTCACTAGGGAAGTAGAGGCTAGAGAGTTACAACATCGAATACAGTTAGGAACACTTTCCAACTGAATGAAAAGTTCAGCACTAAAAGTATAAGCTGTATGTTGTCTCAAATAAAGTGAAAGGGAATTTTCTTCTGTATGTTGTAAAAGTAAGAAATTTGAACACTCTGAGCAATTGTATTCTTTTGAAAGTGTGATTTTGTGGAATTTGTGGAAAATGTTGACATGATTTTGCCTGTCATCTATCTTTGGAAAAACTGAGGCTGTCAAAATATTGTCTTGAAGAACAACAATAGCAACAGTATAAACTATATGTATTGATGTCTTTTAGTTTGATAAATCAAGTTTTGTATTGAAATAAGATCTTTGCGTGAAAAAAGATGTTTAAACATGGATGTTTGTCTCTTTTATATTGGATCTGTAGTGGACATGTTGTTTGGGGGTGACCCCAAAGCATCTTGGATTTTTTTCTAAGAAATGGTCATGAAAATGATTATTTTAAAGACTACTATGAAGTTGAAGCCTTCTTTCTGTGGTCTGATACAATCAGTGGTAGGCACATAACCCAACCTTAGCTGCATTGTACTCTGTGTTCTGGAACTTTGGACCAAAAAGTCATGCAGATGCACACATCTGGCATTTGCTATTCCCACTGCTGTGCCCAGACACAGTGATGAAATGGGTGTCATAGTTGAGGTGCCTTGCATAAATCTTCCATCGTCAGGTCAATTCTCTAGCCTCCTGAAGATTCTGAGTCCCTAAAATCCTTCCAGTAAAGCTTTTTGTTAAATTAAATTTAAAAAGAAAGAAAGAAAGAAAGAAAGTCTTGTTTTGTAGACCAGGCTGGCTTCTGCCTCACTGAGATTGCCGCTGCTTTCCAAGGTGTATGCCACCAAGTCACCATCAATTTTATTTTAATGGGCATTTTCTGAAAATCAAGTGAGGTGGTATCTTTTTCCATTTCATGTGAATCTGTGTTTGATTCATGAAATTGAAGTACCTTTGTAAGAGTCCAGGAGACTTAATTTATATGTAGTTTTTGAACAATGTGGTTCATTTGAAATTAAAAATAGGCTACTTGTTAACTGTTAGTGTTTCCAATTGTCATTACATGGGAGGTTATGTTTTTCTTATTATTCATTGGCAGTTTCCTTAACATTTATATGTACACTTGGATTTTCTAATAGTAAAGTTTCTTACATAGATTTTTGTAGTTTTTACTTTAAAATATATATTTTCTTCAAGTAAGATTTTTTTTTTGAAGGGGGAATGACTTTGTGAGTAAAGGCATTTCCCATAAAGCCTGAGGATCTGGGTTGGAGTCTTAGAACCCACAAAACAACATGTGATACTCATTTGTTTGGATAAATTCTCATTGGTCCTACATGTGTAGCTCAAAGTTTACACCACATTTGAACAGGATAATCAGGAATCTGTAGAAAGGCCCAATAAATATAAGGAGTATGGGAAATACTTAATTTTTTTCCTAATGCTCTCTAAACTTTTACTTTATTAAAATACAATTACATCACTACCCCTTCAATATTCCCCCCAACTCCCATCCAAATTCCCTGTTATTTCACTGCTGTTAACAGGTACATAAAATTAATAAATAAATGAATACAGTCTGCTGAGTCCCTTCAGTGTTGCCTGCATGTATTTGTGTCTAGGGCTAAACACTTGGTATAGGATAAACAATTACGGGCTTCATCTCTGGGGAGACTAGTTCTCCTCTTTCAGTAGTTGTTGATTGTAGCTCTTCATCTAGATGTGGGTTCCCCCATCTACATTGGAAAGTCAATTGTTGGGATTGTTTGGGTCTTTTTTTAGACAACCATGTTGTTTAATGAGTGTGGCTTCCCTGTCATACCTAGAGGGCTCAATCTCACAGCTGACTTACTGATCCTCTGGCTCTTAAAGTCTTTCTTTCCCCTTTTCAGCTAAATTCCCCAAGCCTTAGGTGCAGGAGTTGTGTGGTGGATGTACCAATTGGACTGGACATCCCATGGTTACTCTGACTAGTTATGCTTTCTGTAATAGATTCCTGGTGCTGCAATAACAAGCTTCTTTGATGAGGCATCAAATCTACCTATTTTCGGGCATAACAATGAGCTTTGGAGTACTGTTAAGAATTACACTGATTTAGAAAAGTGTTCTTAGTAGGTTTTCCTATAGCCATGAGTAGCTGGTTTAGGTTTACAGTAATAGCAGGATTTCCCTCCTGTTGAATGGGCCTAAAATCCAAGTGGATAGCTCTTAACACCCAAGATAAAGGTGCAATTATTTCATTGTGGATATGTTACCAGTCCAGTCGTTGGTATTCATAGCTTTATAGCTGGATAAGTCTACCTAAAGCTGCTCTTCCTTGGCGGCTTGGAGTATCTTCTGATACTCAGAACCACAAGGATGAGGCTTCTGGGTCAGTTCCAGCTGTATTGCTCCAAATTTTATGTCCAAAATGTGTCATGTCTTCAGCAATAGGGGCTTACCTTTAGTTCTAGGAAAACAACAAAAGGCAACAATAGCCTATATTGTTTGGGGATCTCTTGCACTTCCCTAAGCAACTTGAAAGGGCTGTTTTTGTTTTTTTTTTCAATGTGTGGTACCAAGGCTTTTTGTTAGATACTCTGGCTCATGGGAGGAACAATATTGCCTAAAGTCATGTAACCTTTTTAAGTTGTGTGTGTGTGTGTGTGTGTGTATTACAAATATATGTACTATAGATAATTTTAGGTATGTATAAAGATGATTCCCCGTGTTCTTTGTGAACATTCTTAGTTATTTATCCCTCCCTGCTACCTCTCCTCCATTGCTCTTCCTTTTCCCTCACCAGTTCGAATCCCCTGTTTTCTCATTTCTCCCTTCATACTACCTGTGTCCTGCTACTCCCCACTCTGGAGCTCTTACTCCTGTCCCTGAATCACTTTTTATTTCCCTGGTGTCTGTTGTTACTTGATATTCATGTCTGAGTATTCAGAACTAGAATCACAAAGACAACATGTGATGTTTATCTTTCTGGGTCTGGGTTACTTCATTTATTACAGTATGTTCTAGTTTCACCCATTTACCTATAAACTTCATGATGTCGTGTCTCCTTACATTTGATTAGATTTCCATTACATGTTCCAGTTTTCATTATTCATTCATCAATTGATGGGAATTTAGATTGTTTACATTTCTTAGCTATTGTGAATAGAGCAGCAATGAATATTGCTAAGCAATATCTATGGAGTAGGACAGTGAGTCCTTTTGGCCAAAGGGTGGTATAGCTGAGTCATATGGTAGATTTTTTTTTAACTCTGAGAATTCTCCACACAGATTTCTGCAGTGGCTTGATTGATTTGCAATTCCACCAAAAATTAATGAGGGTTCTCCTTTCCATGCATCCTCTACAGCATTTGTTGTTTGTTTTGTTGATCTTAGCCATTCTGATTGAGATAAAATGAAATCTAGTCATTTTGATTTGCATTTCCTTAAGAAGGGATAATGGACAGCCTGTTCTTGTTCCTGATTTTAATGGTATTGTTTCAAGTTTTTCTCCATTTAAGATGATGTTGGCTATAGTTTCCCCATATATAGCCTTTATTATGTTTACTATACTTTGCAGAAGGTAGAGAAATCAAACTGGAAGTGAGCTGGAATCTCTTGTGACTAGCTTTCATAGTGCCTTCCAAATATTCATGTCTGCACCCATACATTAGTGCTGCTCTCAGCCTTGGTCAGAGAAGCTACTGTTTGCATTGGGCAGTGGGTATTGCAGAGATTCATAACTGGTCCAAGTGTTGAAAATAAATGTCTTAAGATGGTTCATCCCTAAACAAATGATCTCTATCACTACCTCCAAGGCAAACTGTGGAAGAAGCAGCAGAAAGAATGTAAGGGTAGGAGGATGTGGAAGTGTGTTGGAAATGGTTGACTGTTGCACTCATGAACCAATAGCAGCTTCTGTGTAAGACTGGGCCTATCAACATTCCCTCACAGGTTCAGGGGAAGGTCATGAGGATCCACCCTCTGGGAGCAGATATAGGTAGTTAATGGCTGCTGGAGGAAGGTAAGGCATGTTCCTCAGTATCCACTAATGTATTGCCCATGATTAAACAACCCTCATTAATTTTCATGCAAACAACCCTAACTAGATGCAATGGGACACACACACACACACACACACACACACACACACACACACACACACACACGTCATTAAAATAGGATGGGGAACTTACTGGGAAGTTCAGTTGGAGGAGGAAAGGGAGAATTGAAGACAATGGGGATATGTGATCAAAATACATTATAAATATATACATGAGTGTGTATACATATGAGGGGCTGGAGACATGGACCAGTGGAAAGAGCACTAGTGGTTTAGAGTATTGAGGGCTGGAGAGGTGGCTCAGCAGCTCTTCGTGACTAGGCTCAATTTCCAGCACCCACACGGTAGCTCACAATCATCTGTAACTCCCATTCTGGGGGATCAGATGCCATCTTCTAGCCTCTTGGGGCACTAGTCATGCAAGTGGTATACAGAGATAAATGCAGGCGAAACACCCATACACATTAAAAAAAAAGGGTGGGGGCTATTGTGATGGCTATTCTTGGGTGTCGACCACATCTGGAATTAACTAAAACTCAAAAATAGCTGGGCATACCTGAGGGATTTTTGTTTTGTTTAATTAAATCATTTGTGGGAAGACCCATCTCTAATCTTGGCCATACCTTTTTCTGGAAGCCTATATAAAAGACATGGAATAAGGAAGCTTCTCTCTGCCTGCTTGCTGTCACCCTTGCCAGCAAGTCTATTCCTTCAATGGCATTAGAGTCACTTCTTTGGGATTCTGGCACATATATTCCTGAGGGATTGCAGTGTAATAAGTGAGATATGTCAGTATTCAATCTGGCAAGTACAGAGCCCACCCTAGATCTTGTCCCTTTATTTCTTTTCCACTTTTCCATGTTGTCTTGGTCAATCTTTTTTTTTTTTTTTTTTGTTTTGTTTTGTTTTGTTTTGGTTTTGGTTTTTCGAGACAGGGTTTCTCTGTGTAGCTTTGCGCCTTTCCTGGGACTCACTTGGTAGCCCAGGCTGGCCTCGAACTCACAGAGATCCGCCTGGCTCTGCCTCCCGAGTGCTGGGATTAAAGGCGTGCGCCACCACCGCCCGGCGTCTTGGTCAATCTTGACTATGCTCCAGGTTGTATCAAAAGTTACCTTTAATGTTGTCAGACTCAGTTTGCATGGTGGCTCTGAGAAGCAATTCACATTGGGATCAGTGAAGTGAGATCGAGAAACCCTGACCTAAATGTGAGCAGCATTTTTTTATTTTTATTTTTATTTTTTTGCCAGTAGTGTTTGGTTCTATCCTAGGTCTTTAGGTTACTCAGCTTCTGGTTCCTGTCCAT